ATAGTAACGGGGGGCTTGATAGATATTGTTTCAGGTCTTTTAGACCATGTTGGCATTCTGGAGTCCATTCGAAGTTGTTCTTCTTCTTCAGAAGTGAGAAGAAGTGATTTCGAAGATCGAGAAGTGAACCTGCTTAGAGCGTCCAGTCTTCCTGTTAGCCCTTGGACTTCTTTCACGTTTTTCATCTGGTTTGAAATGTCCTCGCTGGCTTTAATCTTGTCGGGATTGACTTCGATCCCCTTTTGTGACACCAGGAAACCCAAAACTTTATCGTAGCTAACTCCGAATGCACACTTTTCGAGGTTGAGCTTCATGTTATACTTTCTTAGGATATCGAAGGTTTCTTGGAAGTGTTTCAAATGGTCACCTGCATTCAAAGATTTAACCAGAATATCATCTATATACACTTCCATTATTTTCCCTATTTGCTTTTCGAACATTTTGTTCACGAGCCTCTGATAAGTGGCTCCGGCATTTTTAAGCCCGAACGACATCACATTATATCAATATATGCCAAAGTTCGTTATGAGTGAATTTTTTTCCTGATCCTCCGGGTTCATCTTAATTTGGTTATACCCAGAATAGGCATCGAGGAAACTCATCAACTCGTGTTCGGTCGTTGCATCAATCATTTGATCAATGTTTGGCAGTGGGATCGACTCTTTTGGGCACGCTTTATTCAAATCCTTACAATCTACGCACATACAAAATTTATTATTCTTTTTCGGAACCACTACTACGTTAGCTAGCTAGTCAGGATACTTTACCTCTCAGATTGAACCGATGTCGAGCAATTGAGTTACCTCTTTTTTAACAAACATGTTTCTGACCTCGGCAATTGGGCGCTTCTTTTTCCTTGCCGGTGAGATGCTTGGGTCCGGGCTTATCTTGTATACGCCCACCTCTAACGGGATACCTGTCATATCCGCGTGCGACCATGCAAAACAATCAACATTAGTTTTAATAAATTCAATAAAACCTGACCTGAGCTCGGGTTTAGTCATGTCACCAAGTGAAACTTCCTCTCTAGAAACTTCTCAAACAATGCCACTTGTTCGAGTTCTTCTGTCGTGGACTTGGTTGCGACCGTTTCTTCCGGTACCTAGAAATATCTTGGTACCTGGTGGGATTTCGATGGCTCCTCCCCTTTTTCATCTTCGTTTGGTTCGGGAGCAGGCGTCGGTTCCTGTAATTGCTATGTCGCGTGATCTTTCCCTTTACTATTGGAAACTGAGACCGCGTTCATCTCTCTTGCTGCTGGTTGATCTCCTCTTATTTATTTGATTCCCTCTAGAGTTGGGAATTTCAGAAGTTGGTGATATGTTGATGGTACGGTCTTCATCTCGTGTAGCCATGGTCTGCCAAGGATTATGTTGTAGCCCATGTTTCCATATACTACTTCAAATAAAGTAGTCTTCATGACCCTTTCGGCATTCGTGGACAGCAAGATCTCCCCTCGAGTTGGCACACTTGCTAAGTTGAACCCATAGAGGAGTATTGTTGTCAGAACGATGCTTACGGTTAGCTTGTCTTATTCCGGCACTCTCCATTGAATAATGTTGGTTGAACTTCCCGGGTCAACCAAAACACATTTAATCTTGAAATCTAGAATATTAAGAGAAATTACCAGCGCATCGTTGTGCGGCAGTAGAAATCCATCGGCTCTTCTTCTGTGAAGATAATGTCGTTCTCGACGACTTCCCGGGGTATCTTGCTATGAGTCACTAATACCTTTGTCTTTTTTGCTGCCGAGAAGGTTACACTGTTGATCTCGTTCCCCCCGAAAATTATGTTGATGGTTAGTCGGGAAGGGTATTCCCTTACCTTCGAGGGTTCTGTGTTATCCCGGCTGCGACCGTAATTGTTCTTAGCTCGGTCGCTTAAGAATTCCCAGAGATGGCTTTTTTCAATAGCGTTGCTACCTCCTCGCGTGGATGTCGGTAGTCCCCAGTCCAGTGGCCATTAGTCCCATGATATTTGCACCATAAATTAGGATCCCTCTAGCTGGAATCGGACCTTATTGTCCTTGGGAACCGCACTTCTCTTGCCGATACCAGCTCCATTACGCTGACATTGAAATAATACTCTGACAACCTGTGATAAGTGGAATCCCGGGAACCCGATACATCTTTGCCTTGCAACGACTGGTTATTCCGGGCCACAGTCAGTTCTTCTGACTAGAGCGAACTTATCTGTTGATCAGAATCCTCTGTTGCCGCGTCCTTTGGCCCTTTCGTAGGGCAAAAACCGGCCCTTAGAAGATCGTCGATCTGCATCAAAATCATCCTTCGATTTATCCCTATTCTTTTCTCGATCCTGACCCGTAGTTGACGCCGGGAATCCGAGTTGATCATCTTTTATTCTTCTTTTTGATTCATAATGGTTATGGACATCCTCCCACGTAGTTGCCTGAAACTCGAACATGCTTTCTTTCAGTTTCTGGGGGGCGTCGGAGCTCCTCGAGTTCAACCCTTTAGTAAATGCCTCAGCTGCACATTCATCTGGTATGGCCGGTAGCAGCATCCTTTCTTTTTGAAACCTGATCACGAACTCACACAGCAACTTGGACTCTCCTTGCGAAATTCTGAATATGTCCGCCTTACGGGCCTGGACCTTCCTGGCCCCGACATAAACCTTGATGAAAGAACCTGTGAGCATCTCAAAGGAATCTATTGAGTGTTCGGGTAAGAGGGAGTACCATATCAAGGCCCCCTTTGTGAGGGTTTCTCTAAACTTCTTCAGTAAGACCGACTCAATCTTATGTTGAGCCAAGTCGTTTCCTTTTACCGTCGTTGTATAGGTGGTGATGTGCTCCTGAGGATCTGAAGTCCCATCATATTTCAATATATCTGGCATTTTGAATCGCTTTGAAATCAACTCTGGTGTTGCGCTCGGTTTGAACAGCAACTGGGTGTACTTCTTTTAAGTCTGGGCCCTTTAGCACTGGTGGCGCCCGAAATTTGGTCCATTCGAGCGTGGAATTCTTTCGTGTTCTGGTCCATCCGCTCGTTCATTTCCCTTATGAAGCACATGAGCTCAGTTTTGAAGAGATCATTACTGTTGTCGTTACCGGATCCGCCGCCGATCCCCTCGGCCCCATCGAAGCTGACCTCACCCATCGAGGTGTTGTTATCAACCCTTTTTAGCTATTTGATTTGCGGGAGCACCAGGAGGAACAAAGCCTCTTCCATTCGCATTTTTGGAAGCACCTGACAATACCTGCCTTAATTCTGTCATGGCCTAGTCTTGTCGTGAGAGATGGTCCATGATGGCCTTTTGTTGTTCTCTCAAGATCCACACCCTTTTTGCAACGTGCTCGTCTTCAGCATCATCAGGAGTCGCATGTCGTACATATCGGTAACATCGCCCACCATGAACTGGCGTTGCTACGTACTCTTCGTTGCAGGTGTCACTAATTGAATCCTTGTGTTAAGGCAGATTTTCTTGTGCCTCAACGTTGTGTGCGATGTTGACATCGTTAGCTGCCACTTTTTACGATTTTTGCTAAGAAACAAAGAATCAAACATGTTAGTAATAAATGCAAGGATCAACTCAATTACCCAGGTGTCTAAGCCTCACGGTGGGCGCCAAGCTGTTTACCCGTAAAACAATACAGTTGAATCTATAGCGTGATTTATAGACAAGCGAAATTGAGATAAATAGTATATAGCTTGGTTTCGGTAAGAAGACTTCCGAAAGCAGCAATAAGAATAATGTTAGACAGAAAATAAAATATTATTTAGCTCGGGAATAATGTATAGCATAAGTTTGTTAGAATTTTCATGTCTTACAATGGTTGTTGAAGTCACTATTTATAGCTATACCTATGGAACAAGGTCCTAGTATCAAGCCCATCTTAAATGACAATAATGAGGGTCATTGATGAATATGTAAGAGTAGGTCATGATGCCAAAATTCTCTGTAACGATAACGTATTTAATACTGAGGAATATTTTTCATTCAATGTCATATGGTGATAAACATTCGTTTGTTACCTTCGGGATCTACCCAGTGTCAACCGAAGTCGTTGTCCTCGGCCTTGGTTTCCACTTGCTTCATCTTCCGTCTGCCTCCGGTTTCACGTGTCACGATATCATTCGAACATTTAATACAAACCGACCCTATACAAAAAGAAAGTTTCAGAGTCTAAAATTTTAATTGCCAGAAAATATTTAAATAAAACAAACAAAAAAATAGCAATTAAGTATTGAAGTTGTTCAGTTCTACAAAATTTCACCGTGTAAAAATGTTGGATATTTTCTAGAACGACTGTTATACTGCATTAATAATAATAATAATAATAATAATAATAATAATAATAATAATAATAATAATAATAATAATATTCTATCTAGTTTAGTGCTATTGGTAAACCGCATAGAAAATTACTTATATAGAGTGGTGAGGTCACCGACTAACAACTAATAATTTGTGCTAAATCTTTTCGAATTCTTTTAGTTAATTTACTTATTTTCCCCCTTTTATCTGACTCTTTCACTTCATCAGAAACATCGAGTTACAAAATGGCCAAATATATGTTTCCAAATTCTTCAACTTGATGATTAATTAAGTAGCAGGTTAACATGGCTCTTCGGTCTCTTAAATGGCCGCTTGATTGATTATTCACATTTCTAATGACTACTATTATATTACTTTGTGTAGGTAGATCTGCTTGTACCCATGATATGAGAATTCAATAATGGTTCCTGTATTTAATATTAGTGGTGGTCTCTTTTGTTTCGGTTATGTTATGATATGACAAGTGGAAATTTTGTAATCAATGTAAATATTAAATAAGTAACAAATAAATAAATTACTATAATGACAAACGGTTATATTTATACCTAATATTTTTATTTTTTATTGTTTATATATACATATTTTCAAAAATAATTGACAAGATATGGATAAGATTTGAATCAAACTACCATTCTCACCCATTCATGGATTAAACTGGTTTGTTGTTTTTAATGTTAGTTGTAATTGGTAAAGAAGAAAAGGAAAGGAATCTACCCATGTCCATACAAGGAAGTAGCAACTAATAATGTGGACTTACTTACAATAAGTTGACTTGCTGGTTATAATTGAAGCAACTAAAATAGATATCTGATTTGTATCTCAACTTCTCTCCTTCTTCCCCTTGCATTTCAAGTTCATAGCAGTTTAATTCTTTTGTCACAATTTCTAACAAAGAGGGAGAATCATGTTTCTTGACAAAGATTTGTCTAAAACAAGACGTGACTTTCTTGAATTTCGACCCTCTAATATTGACGATGTTTCAAGGGATCGATTGGAGTTCTTTCTGTGGGAGTTAAATTTCCTGGACAGTTTTCTTAGTCTGCAGTGCTTCACCTTCGCAGGTGAATGTGGCATGCTCGACGTCTCAAAGAAAATGAAAGAAATTTGGAAGAAGTCCATATCAGTACAACAGGCTACTCAACGAATTTTTTTCTCTGATTCTGACTGGGAGGGGTCTGTGGATCCAAATTTTGATCCCTTTACCTCCAACGTGCCAACAGGAATTTGGAAGAGTAAGCTCGAATTCCAATCAAAATACTCCTTCGCCCAAGTATCATCAATACTACTTCCAGCCAACAAGGATGATATTCCTACCCCCAAATTTCTAATGGAATTCCTCGATGGTGTTATAGAGAATCTCAATGTTCTACTGCAGATTGATGATCCTCGTTCGCTACTTTATGTTCCGGAACCAAAGGAACAATTAAAAGAGGTTTTGAAGGAGTTGAATTTGCTGAGGTTTTTCGTTTGCTTTGTTTCAAACAAATGCACAGAGCCAGCTCAAAGCGAACATACTTTCTTCACTCACGTTTTAATTGTGTCCAGCCACGCAGCAATGGTTGCATGGTTGTATTTGCCAGTCCATTGCAAGGAAAATCAAGACGTGGCTCCAGGTGAAATGAATGCTTTGATTTCTAATCTCCTGCAAATGAAGATTAGGCCCATTCAGCCAGGTATTCGCAAAATTTATACAGATGTCCTGTGCACTTTGAAGTCGATTACACAACCAGGATGGCATCCCAATATTCAAAATAAGCATGTAACTGACAGTGGATTTGTGGAGGCTCCCGCACACAATTTGATGAAGCTACCCACTGTTAGTAATCCTAGTGGGACAGTTTCTTCAAATGATCAAATGGCAATCCTTCAGGATATGCTCAGCCTTATAAGAGCCAATCTCATCCATCTGCCAATACTAGATCTTGAATTTTGTCTTCAAGATATGGACACTGTTATTGTTGATGCCGGACTTCTAATTTACTCATTATATGATAGCGAGGGGGAGAAAGAAGGCATGACATTGGAGGATGTGAACCAAGCACTTGGTCTTGATCTTCCGGGAAACATTCAGCCTGTCAAAGCGATGATATACCTCATCATTCGAAAGGCGTTTCAATCTAACTTGCCGAGGATTCATGGACTAGGCTATGTTGATTTCTTTTTAAACAACTTGAAGGAGTTCCAGAGCCTCCATTCAGATTCACTCGCTACTGTCATGAACCAGCTTCAAATAATTCAGAAGGAACTTGAGAGCTTGCAATCTTTTCTAAAGGCTGTGGCCGAACAACAATATGACAAGCACGATAGACATCAAATTTGGGCTACACAGTTGATTAGCAAAGCGTATGAGGTGGAATATGTAGTTGATGCTTGTATAAGTATAAGCAAAGAAGTTCCTCACTGGTGTCTTCAGCTTTGGCTCCTCGATATCATAAAGGAGATTTCTTGTATTAAAGCAGAGATGCAAGAAATGTTATGTGTAGTAGATGATACCATGAATACTACCACTGATCATAAGTCATCACAATTGGTTTGGACTCCAAAGATGAAGGAACAATTTGTTGGTCTTGAAGATGTGAGGATGGAATTGAGAGACAAACTAACAAAAGGATACCGACAACTGGATATTATCTCTATTGTCGGTATGCCTGGCCTTGGTAAGACAACCTTGGCAAAAGAAATCTATTATGATGAGTCAGTTATTGAATACTTTGATATTCGTGCACAATGTTGTGTGTCTCAAGTATATAAACGAATGGATTTGATACTGGAAATTCTACATGATGCTATTGGTGAGAGCCCTAGCTTCTCTACCGTACATGATGCAGCAGAACAGCTTCGGAGAACTTTAATGAGGAAAAGATATCTTATCCTTGTGGATGACGTGTGGGAAACTAGTGCGTGGGATGATTTAAGGCCTTGCTTCTATGATGCCAACAATGGAAGCAAAATCATTCTAACAACTAGACATCTTGAAGTTGCCAATTATGCTAAATGTGTTAGTTTTCCCATTCCTCTTCGTATGTTTAATGATGACGAAAGCTGGAAATTACTAGAAGATAGAGTGTTTGGTGAAGAAAGGTGCTCTCCTTCCCTTGAAGAAGTTGGGAGACAAATAGCAAAAAAGTGTGGAGGGCTGCCTCTTTCAATTGTTGTGGTAGCTGGTATTCTGGCAAAGATGGAGAAGAAAGAAGAGAGCTGGAAACAAGTGGCTACGAGATTAAGTTCCCACATTCATGGTGATACAAAGGCCATTGTGGAACTAAGCTATCAGAATTTACCATATCATCTTAAGCCTTGCTTCCTTTATTTTGGAGCATTTTTAGAGGATAGAGTGATTGATGTTTCCAGGTTAACAAAGTTATGGACCTCAGAAGGATTTATAAAAAGTTGTGAAAGCAGGAGGTTGGAGGACATAGCCGAAGGTTACTTGGAGAATCTTATTGGAAAAAATCTAGTGTTCGTTGCTAAGAGGAGTTCAGATGGTAAGGTTGAAGCATGTCGCCTTCATGATGTAATGCTCGACTTCTGCAAGGAAAAAGCAACGGAGGAGAATCTTCTGCTATGGATAATTCGGTAATATACGAACTAATAGTGCTTTATTTTCTCAATAAATCAAGTTATAACTGAAAATTCATCACATGATTTTACAAATTTATATATTCACCGTGACCGATTATATTTTTGAAAATCAATGTTATGATTTTGCTAATTATATATTCACAGAGATCAAAATGCCAATCCTTCTTCCAACATTTACTCTCGTAAGCAGCATGTGCAACGTCGCTTGGCTTTTCGTGAAGTGGATAATCTTGAAGAATGGAGCTCGTCTTGCTCACTTGTTGGATCGGTACTTTTCAGGAGTGATACAGATATCTTTGCCCGTCTCCCCATACCCAAACCCGGTTTCACAATTTCACGCATTTTACAGAATTTCAAGTTTCTAAAAGTGTTGGATTTGGAGCACTGCATTGTTATTGATTTTTTTCCAACTGATCTAGTTTACATGAGATATTTCTCTGCAGAAATTGATCAGAATTCAATCCCCACATCCATAGCCAATCTTTCGAATCTTGAAACTCTGGTATTAAAATCTAGGGGCCAAATATCGTTACCGGTAACACTTAGAAGGATGGTTAAATTGAGACACCTACATATTGCTCAGTACTTCACTATAAGTAATGCAGAGAAACCATTTGATGATGACTCCTTAAAATTTTATGATTTGGACACTCTTTCTCAGCCATATTTTTCTTGTGTCGAGGATGTTGAAGTGATGTTGAGAAAAGCACCTAATATTCGGGAAATGGAATGCAAATTCAAGGGTTTTTGCAGCTCTCCGTTCCCTGTATTGGATTTTTCAACACAGCTTGAGACGCTACACATTATTGGTGAAGTCTTAGAGCTCCAGCATCGGTATCCTGTATGCATCTCCGCTTCAAATCTCAAAATATTGAAACTGTCCATCTTTAGACTGGGCCATGAGCACTTATCAAACATTGGTCAGCTTCAGAACCTTCAGGTGCTAGAACTGCTAGCCATTGAATTTGATGATGAAGAATGGGAAGTGAATGATGACGAGTTCCCTGAACTCAGAGTCTTAATACTAATGTTTTGTCGCTGTCTTGAAGAATGGGATGCCGTTGAGTACTCATTTCCTAACCTTGAACGCTTGTTTCTGCGTGGACTCGAGAATCTGAAAGAGATCCCTTCTTGTTTCATAGACAGCCCTTTTTTACAGTCCATTGAGGTAAGGGAGTGCAACGAATCTGTTGTAAAGTCAGCCAGGTTTATCCAAGAACTACAATTTGAAGATTATCAAAATGCTAATCTCAATCTCTACATTTATCCGTATTCAGGTACACTGCTGAGAAAATACAACTCATTTATAGACTTTGTTAGATGCATTTTCCTTACTATTATAAACTTCATTGTCTAAAGCTTTGATAATTAGACAACAACAAAAAAAAAAAAAAAACACCCAGTGAAATCCCACAACTGGGATCTGGGGAGGGTAGTGTGTACGGAGACCTTACCTCTACCTTACGAAGATAGAGAGGTTGTTTGCGAAAGACTCTCGGCTCAAGAAAGCTTTATTAATTAGACAAATCTCTTATTTTACTAAAGATAACATTTCTTGAAATAGAAGTATCATCAATAGAAAAAAGAAAACTTGTTTTAGCTACGAAAGATGGATAAACTCAACAAAGCCTTGTCCTTATCAATGCAAACAGCTAATTAGGAAATTATATATATATTGGTCAAGTTAAATTGCAGATGATTGGTTGTAATGGCTACATCCGCAAATTGTAGGTTCTGCAGATAATTTGTAAAGCAAGGTGGAGGAGCTGGTTACTGGAAGCTGGGACCTAAGGTTCTATCACTGAGATTTCTGGGCTGTTACAACAAATATATTTGTTGGATGTGAACACTAAGGTATGTCTGATATAAAGTGAAACATATATGCAAAAAGATCATTGTTTTTTATTTATTGGTCTAAAGCTGTAAAAAGTGTATTCCTCAAGCGACTAAAAAGAGAAAGACCATAATATTGTTCAGGGGAGGATCTAGTGCAAAGGTTACAGGTTCATGTGAACCCAATAACTTTTGTTTAGACTCTGTATCAAATGTATAAAAATATTTAGCTAGGAACCCCGTCCGTTGGTCCGGTTATTAATGTATATTAACTTGATATCGTTGTAGGAACCCATAAAATTAAAATCATGGATCCACATCTTAATTTTTCCTGTCATTTGTTTATGTTTGTTACATAGCTTTAAATGTTCTAGACAACAACTACTACTACTCTTTGAGTTATGAACTCATTGGTTTTTTTTGTTTTCAAGAGAGTATGAAGAGGGTTGTAGCTGCAGCAATTTGGAAGATCACTATGTAACTTTTTTCATTAGTTGTTACTTTAGTGAATTCTGTAAAATTGTCAGTTGTTGTATTCATTTTAATCTACATTTCAGAGTTTAGCTACGGAACAAATGAATCATTCAATCCTTAATGTTTGGTGTAAGTCTTACATTCTTTTGACTCCAGAGGTGAATGGTTTCACCCCTTTTTTCTTTAATTAGTTATGCTACCCTTGTGCTTCTTATGATTTCACCAAAATGCTATGATATTGCCACTCTGCTAAAATATTACTTTTACATTTTTTCTTTGTTCTTTCTATACCTGTTTCCTCCTATGATATTCCATGTCCTCAACTTGGTGGATTTTTTTGGTAATTAGAAGGCGTTTGTCAAGAACTCATAAGCATGAAGTTGTCATATAATGCTGCAACTTTAAGTCCCCAGTTCCCTTCAGAACATTTGAAAGTCGAAGAATTGAAGTTTTAAGAAGTCAAGTTTTCTTGTAGATATTACTTGTTTATTCGTAGATTCTAAATGTAATAATCTTGTTGTGTATTTAATTACTAGGAAGAGACATGATTTGAGATCTACTTCAGTTGGAAGTGTGATTGATCTTGATCAAGATCTATATCTACCATAGTCCTTATATTTCCTTGACAAAGAGAGGATTCATATTAGACAAAATTACATCATATGTCAGTGGGTCTAATATTATTACTTATAGCTACATTTTTTATTTTATAGCAAAATAGGTATTTATTTTATACCCTATCATTGAGGTATGAAATACGTCAATTATGTTCTTTATCTCTCTTCCTTCTCTCTATTAGCAAGATTCTCAATCCCCTCTCTTCTCCCTCAAATCAGCAGAATCGTCGGCGTCATCCTGAGATTCGATGTCTCCGGTGACTCGGAGAAGTAGGTGGCGACAGAGCTGCGGTGAAAGAGTGGTGATTTTGGATCAGAGATATTTGGGTAGTAAGGAGCACATGCTGTTGCAATATGTTTTGGCTTAGTCTTGAGAAAATTCAAACTACAATGTTGTAAGCTATATATGTTAGTAATAATTTTAGCATTACTCTAGTCAACAGATATTTGAGGGCCATGGCTACGTCGGAAAAGATTTGAGGGCCGGGTTTTAGCAGCAAAAAGTTCCATTGCGAGGCTATGAACCTTTCCATGGCTCCAATTGATGGAGAGGCACCAATGACATACAGTATAATTGCCTTCTGCCATTTCTCAGTTTCAGCCTCCATTTCTTTCTGCTGCAATTGTACCTTCTTTACGGAATAAACACCATGTCCATTCCCCTTGCAGCCATCCGCCTTACCATTAGTTGAGGCCGCCTTACCCGTTTGCTCGTGCTAGCAATAGCCCCTTGGGGGGGGATGGATTTGGTCCATCACCTTAAGCTTCTCAATCGTCCTTGTTACTGTTCGTTCAACATTAGGCAATGGAACAGTGTTTTCTCCTGGGCTACCTGATCCAATCGTCACCAGATTTAGGCGTTAATGTACTAGTACTGGTTTTACTCAAAATTACTAGTGAATTCAACTTCGTGACACTTGATCTTCCAGAATTAGGCATTATCGAGTTTTTCCCTTTGTCGCTAATTAGGGTTTCAGTCGGCGACAAAACCCTTCCTTGTCAGCTACTACGGCTTCCTGATACTATTAAGTCAGCTAGTTGAACCTTTGTCACATTCCGTTTTGGCGGTCATCGCCCCATTTCCGGCCAGCGTTGTTTAGCAGGTCACCTTAAGATAGGAGGAGGAGAGAGCGTAACTTTTTGAAAGTGACTTGACTTGTGATGATTTTAACGTTCTGTAGATACTATTTAGGGATAAAATTTATTTAATGCATAGCCAAAAATGGTTCATGATTTAGTACATATTAATTCTTAGAAAAAATATATCTGAAATGGGAAAAAGAAAAACTTGTGGTTAATTTCATGTGATTGAACTTTTGGCAGTATATAATATCACATTAAAGACACAAAAATAATTGTCACATTAATATAACTGAATTATGGTTGAAGTACTAAGAAAATATAAATGACCATAAGATCAAGTTTTTCGGATTTGCAAAAACGAAAAACAAAAATAAGACCAAATTTTCAAACCAGAATTATGACACGTCAAAAGAAAAAAAAGAAAGACTCGTTTCTGCCTACATCAATACTTTGTTCTCTTTTAGTTGTTATTTTTTAGTTTTTACTGTGCACTTTCTTTAAAAAAAAAAAAAAAAACCTGTATTTATGATTTATAAGAGTAAAGCAGGAAAAAAAGATATAAGAAAATAAAAAGAAATTTCACCGCGTAAGTATTTTGAAAGAAAAGAAAAGAAAATGCGATTATACAATATAGAAGTGTGAAGTGTTCAGTACTAGAAATTGCACCATGTTTGGAAATTTTCTAGAACTGAAAGACTTCTATATTGTAATCGTCAAACATTTTTTCTCAATTTCCATGGGTTTGGTTCTGTTTCTGATCTTGGCTCGATCGGCATTACTGACCTCAGCAACAAATTTTTAATATTACTTCTATTGGAACCCCTGACTATAGGAAAAGGCCGGCAATTGCTTAATTAGCCTACACATTGGATTAACTTCCTTACAATTTGTATTAAATGTTTTCGAATTTTTGAGTTATAATTTGCTTCTAGTTAATTTATTTACTACTTCTTATGAAATAAAAATAATTTAGTAAAACATGAACAAGAAATAGAGATAGAGAGAAGGAAAAGATTTTATTTCTTCTTCAATTATGTGTTCTTTCCATCTATTACAATGCATTTATATAGGCATGAAAAATGAAGAAATATGTCATTGAATAAATCATTAAGCATTTGAGAGGAAGATCATGGAGGAAGATAGACATCCACCATGATTTGATTTTTCATATAACACTCCCCCCTTGGATGTTTATAGATAATGTGTCTCGTTAAAACCTTATTAGAAAAATAATCCTAGTGAAGGAAAAGGAGTACACATGTTTAGAAATACATTTTTTGGTTGTCTCATTAAAATCTTGCAAGAAAAACCCAGTGGGACAAAACCTTATAAGGGAAAAAGAGTACACCGCGTATTAACTCTCCCTGATGAGAGCATCAATTCATATCCTTGAGCCTTCGCATCCCAATATTGTACACTAGTTTCTTGAAGGTCGACATCGGTAGAGATTTGGTGAACAAATCAGTTATATTATCACTTGAACGGATCTGTTGCACATTGATATCACCATTCTTTTGAAGATCATGTGTGAAAAATAACTTTGGTGAAATGTGTTTTGTCCTATCTCCTTTAATAAATCCTCCCTTCAATTGGGCTATACATGCTGCATGCATTGTCTTCATACAAAATTGTGGGTAGTTTGTCAACACTTCAAACCACAATTGTCTCGAATAAGGTGTATTATAGACCTCAACCATACACATTCTCGACTTGCTTCATGAATAGCAATTATCTCAGTATGATTAGATGAAGTAGCCACATTTATTGCTTACTCAATCGCCAAGATATTGCAGTGCCTCCACATATAAACACATAACATATTTGAGATCGAGCCTTGTGTGGGTCAGATAAATACCCAGCATCGGCATAACCAACAAGATCGGGGCTGCAATCATTGCCATAAAATAAGCCTTATTGGTAGTCCCTTTTAGATACCGCAATATGTGTTTAATTCCATTCCAATGTCTCATTGTATGAGCAGAGCTATATCTTTCTAAGACATTAACTGAAAAAGTTATGTCAGGCCTTGTAGTGTTAGCAAGATACATTAGTGCATCAATTGCACTAAGATATGGCACTTCACGACCAAGTAGTTCTTCATTCTTTTCTTGAGGTCGGAACGGGTCCTTATTCATATCAAGTGATCGAACAATCATCGGAGTACTTAATGGATGTGCTCCATCCATTAAATCTGTTTCAATACCTTTTCTATGTAAGTAGATTGATGAACAAAAGTCCCATTTGCCAAATGTTCAATTTGCAAACCAAGACATAATTTTGTCTTTCCGAGATCTTTCAACTCGAATCCCTTCTTTAAATAATCAATTGCCTTTTGGAGTTCTGTAGGAGTTCCAATAAGGTTTATGTCATCAACATATACAGCAGTACAATAAACTCCGATATTATTTTTTTTATAAAAACACAAGGACAAATGGCATCATTTATATAACCTTCATTTAATAAATACTCATTAAGGTCGTTATACTACATTCTTCCTGATTGATTTAGACCATACAAAGATCTTTGTAATTTGATTGAAAACATTTCATGGGACTTCGAATTATGTGCGTCAGGCATTTTAAATCCCTCAAGAATTTTCATGTATATCTCATTATCAAGTGAGCCGTAAAGGTAGGCTGTAACCACATCCATTAAATGCTTGTCAAGCTTTTCATGGACAGCAAAACTAATGAGATAACGGAACGTTATAGCATCCATAACACGAGAATACGTCTCTTCATAATCGACACCGGGCCTTTGTGAAAATCCTTGTGTAACAAGGCGTACCTTATATCTCTGTACCTCATTTTTCTCATTCTTTTTACGTACAAAGACTCATTTATAGCCAACAGGTTTAACACCATTAGGTGTTTGGACTACATACCCAAAAACTTTACTTTTCGCAAGTGAATCCAACTCAGATTAGATTGCTTCTTGCCATTTTGGCCAATCACTTCTTTGTTGACATTCTCCAACAGATTGAGGTTCAAGATCCTCAGTATCTTGCATAATGCTAGATATAATATTGTATACAAAGACATAATCCACAACTATATTCAATCGATTCAAATCTGTCTCAATATCTATTGGGTTTATTGATAGTTATTTATTTTCTTGAGTCTCAGGCTCATTGATTTCCTCATGAATTTCAGGATTGGTTAAATCATAGGTTTCTTTATGAGACTAATTCGTAGTGTCATCTTGATCATTTATTTTTATTTTTCTAGGATTTCGATCCTTAGAACGCAATGGTCTGCCATGCTTTAGGCGTGCTTTTGACTCATTAGCTATGACACTAGAAGATTGTCCAACAGGGATATCAATACGGATTGGAACATTCTTTGTAGGGATATGTGATTTCATTATCCTTTTCAGATCCGTAAATGCATCTGGCATTTGATTTGCTATTTTCTGCAAATGGATAATCTTTTGCACCTCTTTTTTAAAAATAGAGGCACGTGGATCAAGATGAGACAATGATGGATTTTTCCACGTAATTTCCCGTTTGATTT